ACTTTTTTTGTTCTTTTTCATTCCCTTGGTGGGGTTTCCAACTGTAGTCTTTTACACGGTCGACCCTTATTAGTCGAGCAAGAGCAATTTCTGTACATCTGGGGCTCGCCAGAGTACTTCTTTTAACTCCTTTTCCTCAACTCTTGTGGAGGGTCAATGAAATTAAGGGGGGTCGGAAGCTCTATCCTTGCCCTTAAAAACACATCCTCAAGTAGGCAAACCGTTCAACGGGTGGAAGTTTTACTTGTACTAGAGACAACTTAGCTTCACCTTGTAGGAGTACCCCACTAAGGATCACTAAAATCTCTTCCAAAACCCGATTTTTGTGCAACGAACGGTGCCGCACACGTTGGGCTTACCCCATGTTTAAGATTTAAAGATTTTGACATGGAGGACCAACTGCAATTCATTTTTCACATGAGCACCATGTTCGATACACGAGTCCATAACACAATCCAAATAGAGTCACCATTATCACATGAATTCAACGGTCTTATCTCCACTAATTCACAAAATCAACTGGCACAGCAGAGAGCTAGATAGGAAAAATCTTATACTTCAACATCCTCCATAGTGCTACACTACCTCCCTAGGTTGCACATTACTATAGAGACTGTCAATTCAAAGCATACTGAGCAGGCAATTTGCAAGGAAACACGTACTTGGAGTCGTCAAATTTAAAAATTTGGACAATGGACTAGGCTCCAAGCACACAAACGGATCTAATGCAGTCAAAAGAGAAACACCCCCCCCCCCCCACACACACACACACACTTAAGATCGACATGGCCCTCAATGGAGAAGAGGGAAGGATAAAGGGGAACGATGTTACCAGTGTGCACGGACTACATGAGACTGGAAGCGGCCCAGTCTGAGTGAAGAGGACTGGAGAGGGGACCAGTCTGAGTGAAGAGGATTGGAGAGGGGCCAGTCAGGAACAAAGCACAGCCAAAGGGAACAGAAGAACTCAAACACAATATGTTAGGTCCAATGGTCAGCCCAATAATACATCATCCAACACAAAAGAAAACAAATCAAAACCAAACAGGTTTACAATCCGACCCAAAACAAAAGAAATCACCGAAAACCGTGGTGGGGTTGCCTCCCCACAAGCGCTTCTTTACCGTCTTTTAGCTGGATGCCCATGGCGGAACTAAGGGTCCGCGAGTTCCACTGCTAACTCCGCACGTTCGAACTCGTCTCCCAAGTAGAGCTTGAGACGATGGCCATTCACTTTAAACGATTCAGTCTGCGGGTTGGCAATCTCAATCGTGCCATACGGGAACACCTGTGTGACTGTGAATGGTCCAGACCACCGAGAACAGAGTTTTCTGGGAAAGCGCTTCAGGCGAGAGTTATAAAGGATAACTCGATCACCAAGCTGGAACTCTTTCGGACCCCGCAACCGTGCATCGTGCAGGCGCTTAGTGCGCTCCTTGTACAGCTTTGTGTTCTCATAGGCGTGATAACGCCATTCCTCCAGCTCCAGCATCTGCATTTTGCGCTCAACACCTGCAACACTAACATCCAAGTTGAGCAGCTTAAGGGCCCAAAAGGCCGTGTGCTCTAGCTCCACGGGCAAATGGCATGCCTTTCCATAGACAAGACGGTACGGTGAAGTACCAATGGGTGTCTTGTAGGCAGTGCGGTATGCCCAGAGAGCATCATCGAACTTGGTGGACCAATCCTTGCGAGATTGATCCACCGTCTTCTCCAGGATACGCTTGAGCTCCCGGTTCGTTAGCTCGGCTTGGCCACTTGTTTGAGGGTGATAGGCCACGGACACCTTATGAGTCACACCATAGCGAGACAGTAACTTATCAAATTGTCCCTGGAAATGGGTGCCTCGATCGCTTATGATGGCTCTAGGTGTCCCGAACCGGGAGAATAGTTGCTTCAGAAAACCACAAACACGTTTAGCATCATTAGTGGGCAAAGCTTGCGCCTCAGCCCACCTAGAGACATAGTCAACAACAACCAGGATATAGGTATTACCAAAGGATGGAGGGAAGGGGCCCATGAAGTCGATACCCCAGACATAAAAAATCTCACAAGTTATAAAGACATTCTGGGGCATCTCGTCACGGGTAGAGATGTTAACCTGACCTCTGGCATCGGTCGCACCTGCGTGTGAAGGTGTCTGCGTCCTTGAAGAGCGTGGGCCAGTAGAAGCCCGACTGTAGCAGCTTCCTCGTTGTGCGGTTTCCTCCGTGGTGACCGCCAGTAGGTCCTTCATGACAGTGAGATAGAATGCCCTCCATCTCACTCTCCATAACACAGCAACGGATGATCCCGTCGGCTCCGATCCTGAAGAAATGAGGGTCATCCCAGAAGTAATACTTCAGGTCGGAGAAGAATTTCCTTTCGGTGTGAGTTGTCATCCCCTTGGGCAGCTGCTGGCCCACCGCATAGTTCGCAAAATTGGAGTACCAAGGGGTGACACTCTCCATCAAGTACATCATCATCAGTCTCTCATCTGGGAAGGAGTCGTTGATCTCCTCCTTGAGGTTGTCCGCAGGAGGTGCGTCCAACCGGGAGAGGTCATCAGCTGGAACATTCTCCGCTCCCTTCTTGTCCCGAATCTCGATGTCGAATCAGCTCAAATGGTAGTGACCACTCAGGAGCAACCATGATAGGAGCTTGGGTGAGCCTCTCCTTCAAGGTCGTGAATGTCGTTGTGCATGCATCAGTGAACTGGAAGGGGGCATCCTTCTCAAGAAGCTTAGTCAGGGGCAAGGCGATCTTCGAAAAATCCTTGATGAACCGCCTCTAGAACCCTGCATGGCCTAAAAAAACTCTGGACTCCCTTAACAGATGTAGGAGGAGGCAGCTTGCTGATAGTCTCAATCTTTGTTCTGTCCACCTCAAACCCCATCTTGGAGATCTTATGCCCCAGAACTATGCCTTCGCGAACCATGAAGTGGGACTTCTCCCAACTCAATGCAAGGTTCGTTTCTTCACACCGTTTAAGGACGAGTTCCAGGTTATGGAGACAGTGAGAGAATGAGTCTCCATAAACCGAGAAGTCATCCATAAACACCTCCATAATCTCGCCGACCAGACGGTCAAAGATGGCGAGCATGCATCGCAGAAAAGTGGCGGGGGCGTTACATAGCCCGAATGGGATCCTCCGATAGGCGAATGTGCCGAAGGGATAGGTGAAAGTGGTCTTCGCCTGGTCCTCCGGTGCAATGGGGATCTGGAAGTACCCGGACATCCCATCCAGGAAATAGTAGAACTCGTGCCCCGCCAGTTTCTCCAGCATCTGGTTAATGAACGGCAGCGGGAAGTGGTCCTTCCGAGTGGCGTCGTTGAGATGCCGATAATCAATGCAGACACGGTACCCAGTCACCGTGCTCGTCAGGATGAGCTCATTCTTCTCGTTAGGCACCACGGTCACCTCACCCTTTTTGGGTACCACCTGGGTGGGACTGACCCACTCGCTGTCGGAAATGGCGAAGATGATCCCCGCGTCCATCAGCTTCACGATCTCTACCCGAACCACAGCCTCCAGGTTCGGTGTCAGTCTTCTCTGCGGCTGTCTCACTGGCCGCATCTCATCCTCCAGCAGTATCCGGTGGGAGAAAAAGGAGGGGTTGATCCCCCGGATATCTGTGATCTTCCACGCTATAGCACGCTCGTGCAACTTCAGCAAGGCCACTAGTCTGTCCTTCTGCTCGGGTGTGAGGGTCGAGCTGATGATGACTGGAAGCTTATTCCCCTCCCGGAGAAATGCATACTCCAAATGAGGAGGGGCTTTAGCTCCAGCTCTGGTGGTTCTTCCAAGGAGGTAGTGATGCGGGTGAGGATGAGATCGGTTTGAACAGCCTGTCGCCCTCCAAGAATGGGCCACTCTCCAGCGCGGCCAACTGCTCCTCCAGCTGCGGCTCCTGCGATGCCTGCTCACCTAGCAAAATACAACGCTCAAGAGCATCGTCAGTACCCGCACTCGTTATAGCGAGTGTGGTCTCAAAATCAGCAAGCACATCACAGTAATCTACGGCATCATGCAAATGGGAGTGTTTCCCATTCTCAGACACAGAAAAAGTAGCATGTTCATCGCCAGCACGCAGGATCAATTTACCACTATGCACATCAATAAGCGCCTAGGCGGTGACGAGAAACGGTCTCCCCAAAATCAAAGGTACATCCACATCCTCATTTATATCCAGAATAACAAAGTCAACAGGATATGTGAATGCACCTACATTAACAAGCAGATCCTCAATGGTACCCCTAGGATGCACGATGGAACGATCAGCTAACTGAATGCTCATCCTAGTAGCTCTAGGTTCGCCTAGGTCTAGCTTTTTAAACAATTTGTAGGGCATGACATTTATGCTAGCGCCTAGGTCCGCCAAGGACTTTCCTACATGCATGCTGCCAATAACAAGAGGGATAGTGAAACTCCCTGGGTCTTTACGCTTCTCGGGCAGCTTGTTCTGCAGGATAGCAGAACACTCCTCGCTCAGCATCACTGTCGAAAGATCCCCAAGTTTCTTCTTGTTGGTGAGGAGGTCTTTCATGAACTTGGCATACTTGGGCATCTTCGACAATGCCTCCACGAACGGCATACTGATGTTGACCTGCTTCAACATTGCCATGAACTTGGCAAACTTAGTCTCCAGCTTGTCTTTATGTAGGCGAGTGTGGAAAGGAAGTTAGGTATATGCTCATTAACCACTGCCTGTGGCTTGGGAGCAGGTGCTTCCTTGTCCCCCCCCCCCCCCCCCACTTCTGCATTGTCAGCTGGAAGTGTTAAAACAGGTAGTGGGCCGTCCTACATGGGCTGGGCAGGAGCAGCCGATGTGGTCTTGCCGCTCCTGGTAGTGACGGCATCCAGCTGCTGGTGCTGGTGAGGCTCACGAGGGTTCGGAATAGTGGTGGCAAGCAGAGTCCCCGGTGCCCTGGTAGTGTTTTGGCGAGCTATGCCACCAATCTGATTCTATAGATCTTGCAAAATGGCACCTTGGTTTCTCTGGCCTGCCTCCAGTGAGGCTATGTTCTGATCCATCCTCGTGAAATTCGTTTGGCGAGACTATTTTTCAGCTCCGTCATCTGATTATCTGGAGCTGCAGCTGCTGGAGGCTGGGCATACTGACGCTGGGGCTGCTGGAATGGCTGCCCCTGCCTAGGCTGGTAAGGCTGCTGTTGTGGGGGCAGCCCCTGTCTGGCCTGGAAAGGCTGGCTCTGTTGAAAACCACCCGTTGGTGCTGGGAAACCAGGTGGTTTGGTGGTGTTGCCATTCCAAGAGAAGTTGGGATGCTGGCGCCACCCCTCATTGTATGTGTTACTGTATGGATCAAGGCACCGAGCATTGGCGATGAAGTCCAACTGCTCTTATGGTGTAGATGACTCCTGCATGGCCTGGCAGTCTTCCACCATATGGTTTGAGCTCTCACACCACTGACATTGAGCAACTGGAGGTGTAGCCAAACCTCTGCCTGGAATAAGACTGTTGGGCTTCTTCAATGTCTGCACTAACTCGGCCACCTGCTGCTCGAGCCCGGACCTGGCCTCCATGGCGTGCACACCACGGTCCCGGGAATTCCTGCCTCTGTAGCTCTACCCCCAGGAGTGATCTCTGGCAGCCAAGGTACTGATCATCTGGTTCAGTTCGGGTGGGGTCTTAGTAAGAATATCCCCTCCTGGGCATAGAGACTCAATCACCCGCTTGCTTTCCGGAGAGAGAGCACTGTAGAAGTTCCCCACTGTGAATGCATCACTGAAGCCATGATGGGGACACTGCCAGAAAAAGCCCATGTACCGCTCCCATGCATCACGAAGTGACTCGTCCGGCTCCTGGCGAAAGTGTGTGATCTCCCGCTGAATCTTTGTAGTCTTCGATGCCGGATAGTACCTGTGCACGAACTTGTTGGCCAGATCGTCCCAAGAAGTGATGGACAATGGGGGCTGGGTCTCCAACTCCTCTTAGCATGCCCCGCCAGAGAATGGGGGAAGAGGTGAAGGCGGATTGCATCATCAGGGACACCGTTCAGCTTGAACCCGTTCGTCAGCTGCAGGAAACGGGACAGGTGCACCCTTGCCTCCTCATCCTTCAAGCCATGAAACTGGACAGGTGATGTAATGAGTTGAATCCAACATGGCTTGATCTCGAAGTTGTTCGCTGGAATGGGCGGGTAGAGGATGACAAGGCGGATATCAGCAACCCGTGGAGTGTAGTAGTACTCCAAGGTGGGACCCGACGGCAGTGGATGATGATGAACCCCATCTACCTGGGGTATGGGGTTGTTCCCCAATATCTGATTCACCGGGGGAACCTGGAGAGGATTCCCCTGGTGTGGGTTGTGTTCGCCTTCCATCTCATACTCTTCCTCAGAATCGCTGCTCAAGTGGCCGTCTATGCGCTCCTCCGTAGCCAGTCTAGCTCGCTTTTGTCTCCAAAGTTGGTGACAGGTGCGTTCAAGCTCCGGATCCAACGGCAGTAAACCTCCCGACTGGATACGGGTCATGCACTACCTGCATACAGTCAAGCAAGCAAACCTGTGAAGGCACAAGTGTGACAAAGCAAACAATGCTAAAACGAAAAGCTAAATTACCAGAATTCACGTTTCTTCAACAACCTAGCTGTCCCCGGCAACGCCGCCAAAAAATTGACTCGCTCCTACCGTCACTCAAGAAAATGGCCAAGTGTAACCACTTCCTAAAGTGTAGTATAGCGGGTTTGGGTTTTAATGTCAACCCGGGTCCTAGATGTGATGACTACTCAGTGAATTCTTATTATTTAGCAGTGAAACTTTAGTGAAGGTCCAAACTAACAAACAAGCAAAGCAAGCAAGAAGGCTGTTTTCAAGTCGAGAGAGATCACCCGGATATGGTTCCCCCTAGACTGCAGTTAAGCCGGATTGTAATTTACCAAGTTCAATTTCTATGATAGTTATACTGCGGGAGGTTCTTAAACAGTCTGAAGTCTCGACTAAAGGTTTCCAGACCCTCCCAATCTGCGTCCCCAGCCGGCGACTAACCTCCACTGGAGTAAACAGATTGAGGCCCTAACGAACCAAACCTCCACTACCGAAGCAAATTTGGTACAGAATAGTGAATTGATTCCTCGACTAAAGTCGCCAATTCCCTACCTTCAATTAAGGGTGCTCTATCAACCTAGGCAGATATTCTCTTTCTAGGTCAAAGCAGAAATAACAGGAATTTGATCAGGATTCATGCCATTCAACACTCAAACCTCAATTGAATATAATCAAATCATAGAATCTGTATTTGGGTTCATAAAATCAGACCTAACATACAAATCTAGGGTTCTCCATACCCAGATGAATGAGGAAGTTACTCCATGGAGAGAGAAGCAAAAGCAAGCTCAGATGTAGAAATCATGCTGTGAAGGATGGGTTTCTGCTCCTGGTCGTCAATCGACACTTCTCCAAGTGTGAGCCGATCTCCAATGGTGATGAAGATCATGCTAGGGCACTTGGGAACTCTGGTTCATCGCTTTCTCTCTCTAGGAATTGCTTTCTTTCTCTAAAACTCAGAACCCTTATCCTTTGGCTGCAAATTGGGTTAAAAACCCAGAATTTCCCGACTCACACGGCCAGGCCACATGGCCGTGTGACATCCCCAGCTACCCGTGTGAGATGTGCAAACCGCAGCGTTTTGATAAGTGACTCGAGCTTCCTGCACGGCCACGACCCACACGGCCGTGTGGAATTCCAGGATGGCCGTGTGAGTTCCCTGGAATTTCCACACGGCCCATGTGACTTTGCCCGTGCAATTTGGTGCCACACGGCCGTGTAGTTTTTAGGCGTCCCCGTGTGGCTCCATCAGCTTCACGTCAAATGTCCAATCTTTGTCCAATCGACCCCGAACTCGTTCCTAAACCTTCATTCACGTACTAGGACCTGAAATATCACAAACAAGAACAACCTAGCGTGAAATCGGCCTATAACACGAGAATTGACATCTCAAACGGCTCAAGAATAGGGGTAAAAACATGCGCAATTAACGGTCTATCAACATCACATCCAGATAACGATATTTTATTGATCCCATCCTTCGTACATGGTGTGGTCTAACCAATGATTAAGTTGTTCAAAGAAGGTTAAAGATGTTCGCCAAGCTACAAAATACTTGAGGCTTTAAGTGGACACGAACTCTACTAGAATTCTGATAACAAGTATCCAAAGTAACAAAACTCACAATTGGACCATCATCACGACCATTTGCTCTAAGCAGTTACGAGCCAATTCTGTTAATCGCACGAACAGGTACACTTGTGTATCCAAACAAATTACAAGTCGTATCCAGAAACCTAAAGAGAGAAAACTAGTTAATATACACTCATGGAACAAGGAACCAAAAGAAGAATACAGACAAGGCCACACTTTCGGCCACCGTCAAAGTGAACCAGCTTCGCAGACCCCAAATCGATTTTCCAGAAACACCAAACGGTTAATCAGCCCCATTTCCTCCTCCTCCGATTCGCAGACCCCAAATCAACATGAAAACAAAACGAGATCAAAGAAACAAGGTCAGAAACCCAAAGTTTGGACTCGGTAATTGGGGAGTGTCTAGTCATATCCTAATTTGAAAAGGAACTCAAAGAAACGGGGGGGGGGGGGGGGGGGGGGGGGGAATTGCATAGCAACTACCCACATTCGTTTCTTAAGGGCCTTTTTAATCCGATGGAATGGGACCATAGTTGCCGCTCTTTCCAATCCATATTTGTTTTGTATGCAGCTCGTGCCAAACAAAGAGGAAATCAAAGAACCGAAAATAAAAACCAACAATTCGGGGAAGGAAAAGGATAAGGAAAAGTGAGATTACTATGGAACTCTTTATCTTCCAGTTGGAGCATCTCCGCCCAACTCTCTCTCTCTCTCTTTACTCGTCGGCAGCAATGCGGGCCAGCGTCGCCAATCGATGGCATGATTGGAATCGTCAACTCTCTCTCTCTCTCTCTCTACTCGTCGGCAGCAACGCGGAACCGCCATCGCCTCTCTATCTCTCAGATTGACGACATGCAACATAGAATGAGAATGGGGAGTCAGAATGAAGGAAACGTTTCTAGGAGACGAACCAGATCTTGTTCAAAAGACAACCAAATTTTTGGCGAAAAAAGCGCTATTCTGATAATGTAAAAACCAAATTTTAACAATTTTGAATTTTCTTTTTACGTTGCATTTTGGCGCTACCATTATTTACACTTTTTTTACACATTTTTGTCCTGAAAAATTAGAGAATGGATGGTTATTACTTTTTTCAATTCACCAAAAATCAAATTTATTACTTTTTCACTTTTCTCAATGACTCTAATCAAGCGGATAGTGAAGCCTGTGAAAAAAATAGTATGTCGGTTATAAGTTATAACCAAAACGATATTAACAAATGTAAACGCCATATCCATATAAAGAAGTGTGTAGCTCACCCAAATGGACTTTAAAGATGTAAAATACATTACCCTTATACACGGTAACATCCTCGTCCCTTTTATACCACATGAATTATAACCTATGCCTTTATCCCAATTTTTGGATCAGTTTAAGTTATGCAATGGTGACATGGTTACATAAATAATTTACACGTCTTGGATGAAATTTGGTAAAATCATGGTCTAGCTAAATTCCTACCTTATTAGAAGAGGAAGGTGTAGAGAGAGTTAGGTTGAAGGTTAGTGGGGGTTTTTTCTAGTTGGGACAAGTGGGAAAAGGGGAATGAAGGGAAGTATCATGGTCTCAAGGATCAATTCTAGTTTGTTGATTATGATGATAGCTTTGACGATGAATTCAAAGAAAGTTAGTGATGAATTATGTTTTTCCTTTTTCGTTTATCATCTCACATATTGAGTTAGTAGGGCAGAATGGAATGATTTGGTTATGGATTGAAGAACTGATCATGAACACACCCAGGGGAAGAGCTACAGCTTGGCTCGGGGGGGGGGGGGGGGGGAGCATTTTGAAAGTTACGTGTAAACTCGACGAGCTTCCTGAATTTTCGTATTAACTATGGGTAAATTATTATATCTGTAGTGTGCATTAATAGTAACAAAAAAAGGAAGACAGTCTAGCGGATGGGAAGTGTTTGAATAACTTACAGGTTAGGGGTTCGAAAACTGAGGGTGTTTGCCTTTGTTTATTTTTTCAACTTTTAGTTAAAAATGACTTAACAAGTATTCATTCCATAACCTAACTCTTTCAATTTAAAACTATATCGATTAAGCTTTCAACTTCAATTTTTTTTACAAAAACTTTTGTATACAATAAATAAATTGTTCTACAAATACGATTTATCCAGCTCCAAAATCTAAATAACTATCACAATCAAATCATTCAATACTAATTACAAGACTCAATCATAGATAATGGGGATTATGGTCAAGGTAAAATCAAGCGGAAAGTTTTACTATTTTGAATTTTGGTGGCATGAAACTCAAATTTGTCAAAAGTGTATATTACATGATTTCTATTATAATGTCTTTTTAGACTCTCGGACTTATTGTATAACCCGAATAGTAATGAAAGTATACAAGTTCACTAACCAAAATAATATGTAAACACATGGTGTTTAAACTTGGCAAATTGACTGTGTCACAACCACATAATGCGTTGAAAACATATTGTTCTGACGAAATAGATATATCTAGTGAGTAGTATGGAAGGTTTATTGTCCAAATGCATGGTATGCACATGTAGATAGCTTTTTCATATAATAAAGTCACGGTAAAGCCATTGACTTCTATACAAAAATTGTCGTCATCTTCATTTATTTTGCTTTACTTCCTTAATTATTTTTGTTATTATCATCGATTCTTTTCTAACAACTCTAAGAAGTCATGAGTTCCCTAGTTTTATTTTTTTGGTTAGTTTTATGTTTAATTGTTACAACATATGTATACAAAAAGTGTACGTTTAAAGTATCAAAAAATCTGTACAGCATTGATGGTTAAAATGGGCTACTGTCATCACAAGGTCGCCTGTTCGGCTCTTCATATCATCTTTTTTTTTTTACCCACATCCATGTAACCATGTTTCAGCTACGCTTGTTGAACGACGTCGTCCTGAGGACACTCTCGCTTTAGCAGAGAGCACAAACGACGACGTTTGTCATGTCTTGTCGTCTTCCCTGGGCATAATTGGAGATAACCGTGGTTTTGATGGCTGTTGGGTTTTAATGATGATGGTGAGATAAACGTTTAGCTATGGGGTAGTTTGGGTGAACAGATAATGACAATGGCCTTTTGGATAGTCGAATTGGGTGTGGGATGTTGATGATACAGTAATTTGAACCAAATTAACCTGAATTTTTTTCATAACTTTTCATTAGGCAACTGATCCCATTAATAAGTAATTGAGTAATGTTTTGATAAGTATAGAAAGATACAAGCAACAATTCATTAAGAAGGGCAGAACCCATACAAAAAAGCATTGTATTCACACACTTAGTATACTTGCATAACAAGAGAAATAACATTAAGGCGGACACTAAGCAACTTTAGTAGATTCTATTGACATTGCTGAAATGGTATTCAGTTTCCGGGAGGTAAAAATAATTTTACCAATAACAGCTCAAAATAACTCGACACATTGTTCCAAGGACCCAATGTGACCATAAACTCATAAGAGTTTCCACCAAGCAAGTTAACAAGGGTAACGAAATCGGCATTTCCCATATCTTCATCACTTACTACATCTGCAACGATTGTGCGTTAGTTTGTCGATGGGAAAACAACCTCAACAGCTACATACTCATCCTCGATAGCTAGATGGATCAAATGCACTCTACATTCAGCACACCAGGATGTCCTCAACTCGGTGACACGTCCTATAGATGAGGTAAGAAGTGCCCTGGTGTTTAAAACAAGAAAAGGATTTTCAAAAAATTAACAAGCATTAACAAACACAATAACTGCAAACGAGATCGAGAAGGATGAATGACAAAAAGTTTATTTCAATAACCTCATCGTCACCATTCTCTTGCAACAATATAAGATCGATTGAATCCGAAAAATTAGACATAGCTACTACTTCCTCATACGCCAGATTTGCAATGAAACCCGTTAGTAATGGTTGACAATAGAAAAAGGAAGCGAAGTAGACTGTCGTAAGGATTAGTTGGTAAACAATACTTACGGATACCATTGTGATACATCATCCATTGTCAGAAAATTACACCACGGAAGTCGGAAACCCTACTCAATTTATGTTCTTGCACGTACTGTGGATGTTCCATAGGAGTATATGAATTAAGAACACATTATGATCAACTATTCTAATACAACGTACCAAACAGTTAAAAATCAATTAAAGAAAAGTACCTGCGACGGTGGAAATGTGGTTGGCGACACCGCGTGGTTAATCGAGCAGATCGGGAAGGAAGACGACGATTCGAATTCCTATTTTCCACACGATTGTTTCCTTCGCCTGCTCTTCTTTCAAATGGCAGACTACAACCTCATCCGCCACCAGAGGAGTTCGCCCCCACTACCCTAGCTGCTCTCTCCCTAACTTTCTCGTGCCTTACGTCCTGAAGACTTTCCTCCGCTCTTCTTCCCACAACCGCTAGAGCGAATCAGCGACAGAGGTGGCAGGCGACGATGGTGGCCCGGAGGAGGAGACCGCTACTGAGCGACCAGCGGTTGATTGACCGGCGGAGGCGGAGACATGCATGCAACGGAGGCGGAGACGTGCATGCAATGGAGGCGGAGGGGGAGGCGGAGGGAGGAGGAGGACGGTTGAGTTTTAGTTAGAAGGAAAACAGAGAAGCCAGAGCATGGGGGGGGGGGGAGAAAAAGCTGGAAGATGGATCGTTTGCTTGATTTGGTAGGTAAGTAGTCTTCCAATTTTCAACTTTTCCATTATTGTTCTCTGTTGGTGGAATAAAGAAAGAGACAAAGGGAGGACAGCTTCCGATCAGCTCGACTAAGCCCTATTGGGCCTGGTACAAAAGGTCTGCTTAGTTTAGTTTTATGTTTTAATTTTACAAGAACTCATTTATAATTGTAAACATAACAGTGTAAGTATATCGAATCAAAAAGCTTGTTCAGTAGCAATGGTGAAAATTGCCCATGGTAATGACCAGGACGCCGGTTCGACCCTCATACCTTTTCAAAATTTTCTGTTTTCAGCTACGCCTATAGAACGACGTTGTTCTCCAGGCCACTTTCGATTCAGAGACGAGCGTAAAACGATGGTGTTTTTTCATGTATCGTCGTGTTCCCTGGCCCCTGCGATTCTCGACATCCCAAATTCCCAATTATCAAGTTGCCGCCATCACCACTCACCACTGTAATCCGACGGCCGTCTCTCTTCTCCGACAACCCCACGTCACCATCCCACCACCGTCTCTTTTATCCGGAGAGCCCATGTCACTATCCTAGGACCGATCGCACCAGCGTCTCTCCTCTCCGGCAACCCTACATTCCCCTTTCTCTCTGCAATCTTTTGAACAATAGACAGACCAATCATCTTCCCCTCCAGTCAAACACGTTGAACCCACCGCGGTCCCGATCGAATTCCATCCTAGGGATGAATCCATACTAACTGAACCACGTACCCGCCGGACCTAGGATCCGCTGCCGCATCAACAAATTCATCGTGATCCTCTCCCTGTCATCGATCGCGACAGGCCCAGCTCATCCGTGTGATCCAACCCTGTGAATTTCAAACTCGAATATGTAGCATTCAATCGACATGGGTTTGCTAGAAACTTTTCTGAACGATGATATTGGGTTTAGGGTAGATAGGCTGATTCGAACAAGCTACTGTGTTTTCTGAAATTTAATTGTATGTTAGAAATATGGGAATAGGGTTCTTTTCAGTTCGTTTGTTACTGTGTTGTTGTTTCTTCGATTTCAATGAGGGAAGAAGAAGAAGCTTGCTTTTTTTTAAACAAAGAAGAAAATAAAAATTCAATCGGAAAACAATTTCAATGGGCAGACTTTAACAAAATATGGGTACTTAAACATACATAGGCATGAGAAAAGGTACTTTAATAGTAAAATGAATGGTTTAAATCGTTTTAGGACTATACCGTATGTATAATTATTAATGGGCACTAATAATTATTGATTAATAATAAATTAAATTAGATTTAATAGGCGTTAGATTAGATCAACGGTGCACAAGCCTGGAGCATACTATGCATCTGGAGCATACCAGTCGTATATATATATAGTTGATTATTAATTACAAAGGTAATTATTTTAGTACTTGAAAATACCAATTGAAATACTCAATATTTTGAAATTGGGATTCAAATACTAAAGTTTTTTTGGAATTGATTTTGGTTTTAACATTCATTTGATATTCTGATTCGGTACTTGGAATTAGAATACCAATCCCATTCTCACCCCTAGTTATAATCGTTATTAGATATTATTATATATAAACCTGAAGTAGAGTTACTGTTGCATAAATATTCACATTTTGATACCCCAAATTTAATTAAATCACAACTTAGTCATTATAATATATATTTTACATTTTGATACCTGAAATTTAATTTTAAGCTGAAGTTTGGTTACCGTTGCATATAAATTTAAATTTTGATACCAAATTTAATTAAATCACAACTTAGTCACTATAATATACATTTTACATTTAGATACCCCAAATTTTATTTTAATGTAAAATCATTATTATTATACATAAACCTGAAGTAGTGTTTCTGTTGTATAACTATTCACATTTGACACCCAAATTTAATTAAAGCACAACTTAGTCATTATAATGTAT